TCAATATTCTTACTGAATAATTACTGGAAACGAAAATTTAAATAGCTGAAAATAGTTATAAACTATAGAATAGAATAGAATAGAATAGAATAGAATAGAATAGAATAGATCTACTTTTACTGTCAGAGCATCTCCTACTCAGTGCAGACATGTGGGAAAAGAAAACGGGAGGGGAGGGGAGTGGGGATGCACAGTTCTGCAGCAATATATACACATGAATAGTCTCAATTCAAAAAATATAAAATATACAAATATCTGTTGAGGGAAGTCCTTGGATTAGGGGGTGAAACTGTGTTGTCAGTGCATGTGTGAGTTCAGGGTGTGTGGTGGAGCGTGGTCTGCAGCGCAGGGAGGATGCACCTGCACGGCATCCTTAATCACTCCCGCCGAGATAAAAACACGGGGATTCAGGAGTTGGTGTGTTGTGATGTGATGCAAGTCAATAAAATGGCTCAAAACTATGATCCTTGGACCTGTCGTGTCTCATTCACATCACAGGGTGGTTAAGGCTTTTGGGAAGAAAGTATTTATTTGATAAAAACTAACTTGACAGGATCTGCCTGCTGTCTGTTGTAATAGTAACTACTGCCACAGGTCTGTCAGTAAAATGTCTGATCTGTTTCTCCGGAATTTGTATCTCCACTTTCTATTTCCTACATTTGTCAGGTTAGAGCGAAATAATTACATTTAGAAATCAAATGTAAAATGACGGTCCCAGCTTTGACTGATGAATATTGAAGCTGGGCAAATGATATGAGAGAGTGGCCCAATCTGATTCAAAGGACTCTTTTCTGTCCTCACATTTTTAAGATGAACATCATGCTCCACACTGACACGTGTTCATGTTCCTGGGTCCACTGGATTTAAATGGAGAGTCTGCTCTTTATTTACACCCTGCTATGGTTACACATGCTGCTGGAGCTCCACTAATGGAGCCTTGGTCACTATACTCATGCACGTACTTCAGGGTGAACATGCTCAGAGTTGATTGAACTCTGACCAGCTGTTTGCAACTGTGAAGCCTCAGAGTTGTGGATTTCAGAGTTAATCAACTCAGAGTTTATTTTTAATTTCAGAGTTTGTTGAGCATGCTTTTTGGGATAGGCCCAGGTCAACGGGCACAACCCGTATCCTCAACTGTGCACTCAGCCCACAAATGCATTTTCCTTACAAATGTGGTGTCATTTCTTGGGAACTCACAAGCTTCCCAGTGGTTTAAGATTTCCAAGAAGCATTGCTACAACAGAGAAATAATCAGCCAAATAAACTTTCTTACTTTCTGGGCTGAGTTTAGCACCTAAAGGTCCAGAACTCATACATAATAAGAGTGGTTGCACAGGCAGAGCAGCCATGGAGTTAGTGGAAGGTTATAAAGTATGATAATTGGAAGGTTGATAGTTCGATCCCCAGCTGCTCCAGTCTACATGCCAGAGTATCCCTGGGCAAGATACTGAACACTAAGACGCTCTCCAGTGCATTGATCAGAATATGTGTGGATGTTTTAATATAAAGCACTTTGATGTATAAAAAAGTGTGAGTGTGGGTGAATGAGGCATATTGTATAAAGAGCTTTGTTGTGCTGGTAGAAGAAAAAAACAGTATCTAAGTCCATATCAAACTCTTATCAATATCAGTCCATTTAACATGACAGCTGTACCCCCTAAAGTCACCTACTGTATCCAAGAATAACAGCACAATAATTTTCAGTCAGTGTCTTTTTTTGTACTTGTACTTTTTCTTTAAAATATGTTGGAAAACACAGAACTAACCAGTTTTGTATTTTTCTTATTCTGCCAGTTTTGAAAATGTATCGTGGCCTCGTTCTAACTGTAAAATTCAGATTTTATAAAAAAATTTTGGTCTGGTTTTTTGGTGAAAACTAAATTACAGCCTTAAACACATCAGGCAGAAAATAAAGCCACAGTGCAAACGGTTTCCCCGCAATTACATTTTCATTCACAATTTTCAAATGCAATCATGGTTTAAACATCCTTTCCACCCTGTCTAGTAATTTAATTTCATTAACCAGTCAAATTTATGTTCTAGCTTAGAGCACTTTCTTTGTTTTTTAAAACCCTGTTGTTTATTTCTCTTCTAAAGTGTCTTGCAGTGGAACTTTTGTTTCCTGGGATGCTGTATGCAAGCTACTTCAATGCTGTAATGAATAAAGGCAGAAAAAAATTATGCCAAAACTTTGCTTTAAGACTGGAAGCTTTTATGGAATAATACCTTTAAAAATTAAAATAAGACTACTGAAGGAATTGGTTTTTTATTTATGAGTCTAATTAAAAAAAGAACACAAGTACACATGACATGACACGTCTTTAATCTCTGTCTCTCTTCCACTGCATGATTTCTATCCTGTCTTCCTTCTCTCACCCCAGCCGGTCACGGCAGATGGCCGCCCCTCTCTGAGCCTGGTTCTGCCAGAGGTTTCTTCCTGTTAAAAGGGAGTTTTTCCTACCAACTGTCGCCAAAATGCTTTCTCATAGGGGGTCATATGATTGTTGGGTTTTTCTCTGTATGTATTATTGTAGGGTCTACCTTACAATATAAAGCACCTTGAGGAGACTGTTTTTGTGATTTGGCACTGTATAAATAACGGTATAAACTGTATAAATAAAACTGAATTGAAAAGTAAACTCTGAATGGTAGAAATCTTCCAAATTTGAAACTGGTAAGCGAAACAATCTAAAGTATGCTTATTTATGTTCTTAATCATGCAGGTCATGGTCGTTGTGAATGCATGGGTAAAGAAAAAAGACAATTGAACTTCTCAGTTTACGAAGACTACTGAGATTGGCCTGTTGGAGGTTGTCCTTCGACAGGATAGCCCCACTGGGGGCTTAAAATACTTGGGACTCTATTGTTTGTTTGAGAACCCAAGACGCATATTGGATGTTAAATGGGCTGGTTCTTAGATAACTCTTCTCTACTCAATTTGAGCACTCAAAGCACTTTATACAACATATCTCATTCACACATTCATACAAACACTTTTATATACAAATATATATAACATATATAACATTCAAGCACACATTCACACTCTGATGGATGCATTGGGAGAAACTCAGGATTTAGTGTCGGGCAAGTGACTCATACTTGAGCAGCCAGAGATCAAACAACCTTCGGAGCCACAGTCAGACATATCAGAGGGAAATGTCTGCAAGCGCTCAGCTCTAACAAGTGTACCAGTCATTCAGCTATTGTGGTAATTAGTGGGAAAAAAAGGAGAGGATGCTATCAATTCCAAACCTGAAAGTCTAACCGTATCCAACTATATGAAAATCCACTAAAAATGCGACATCTATTACCTGCAAACAAATGCAACTTCAAGTGCAAGCTCTGTGTCAAAGTACAACCTTGTGACTTTGAACATTGATAGCTGCACCGACTAATTCTGGTTTGGTAGATGCCAGTACATAAAAAACATAGAGTGCTGTATGTGCAGAGGTGTACAGAAATAATTTTAAAGAAACTGTATGGGGTGTGGCTGTAGCTCAGCTGCAGAAGGATGTGAAGAGTGAAGAGTTCAGGTGGCAGTGCTAGGAACGTCCAGATGGCACAGCTGGTGCATATTTTGTAATTCTGTCTCTCTTATTTATGCAGTACGGTGCTGTGACCAAAGAGGAGCAGTATGGTGAACAGCAGGCGATGCTGCTAAAGCTACACCGGGCGACGCCCGAAACTTTACATTGTACAGTGTGAAGTAATAAAAGAAATACATAACTCAGAACAAGGAGTGTGTGTGCTGGGACACATCTGTGGCCACAGAAAATTTTATTTAGAAGATTTAAAGGTAGAACTTTCTATTACAGCTTGGTAATAAATAGCTAATAGTTGGATAACAAGGGGGAAATAATAGGGTAATAATGTGGTAATTTCAGTAACTGTGGTAGTTTCTGTGTCATAAGCTCGAAACAGAGCTGCAAAATGCAAAACTGTCTGTTTCTATTTAATAGCATATTAATAACCTTGTTTCTTCCCTGTTAAATCCAGAATTGAATTCAAAATCCTGCTCCTCAGGTCTTAAATAATCAGGCCCCATCTTATCTTAATGACCTTGTAGTACCATATCACCCTATTAGAGCACTTTGCTCTCTAACTGCAGGCTTACTTGTTGTTCCTAGTAGAATGGGAGGGAGAGCATTCAGTTTTCAGCTTCCCGTTTGGATTCAGGAGACAGACAATATCTCTGCTTTTAAGATTAGGCTTAAAACTGTCGCCAAAGTGCTTGCTCATAAGGGGTCATATGATTGCTGGGTTTTTTTCTGTATCTATTATTGTAGGATCTATTGTACAATATAAAGTGCCTTGAGACAACTGTTATTGGCACTATATAAATAAAATTGAATTGAAACAAATTGAACTATTACCACTTTATTACCGAGTTGTATTTCCACATTGTTAAACAAAGTTTTTAGGCTTTTATTATCCTAGTATATAAATTTCAGGGTAATATTACTCAACTTTAACCACTGTTGCTACTGTAATATTACTTATATATTACATAGTTATTACTTTGGTAATTGCATAGTAATAACGTAGAGATTACCACATTATTAACCTTGTCACCCTACTATTACCCCTTTTTTACCGAGTTGTAATAGAAAGTGCTACTGATTTAAAGTATATAAATGTTTTGTTCAACTTTCAAATTAAATTTTCCCAGAAATGCCTTAAATCACAAATACAAAGAACATGTTTATTTTATTCTGTCAGTCAATAAAACTGTAACTTTTCTTGATTAATCACATGATTTGAGACACAACTGTAGGATGCACATCTGTGAAATGATCAGATAAATTAACATAAAGTTCCTCAAAACCAGAGTTTTTGGCTGAATTTGACAAAGAATCGAGCTTTTGTTTGATCATTGTGTTTTGAATATGTGCTAAAGGTCACAACTATCCCTATGTCAACAAACTATCAAAAAAAATAAGAGAAAAGAAAACAGGAGACTTTGCCCTTTCTGATGTTCACATCTAACTGGTGACTTCATTTCTTCTGTCCCGGTCTTCTATCTAGGTAGCTGTGTACTCTTAACTACCAATAAGATTACTAATATATGCTCTAAGAGCCAGTAAGGACAAAGCAATCTAGTCAGCTGGGTGTGTTGAGTTGGAGTTTACACTTTGGACCCCAGAAGAGCTGAGAGATTAAGAGCAGACTCTTCAGAAACGGAGACCTCAGAGTAAAATAGATATTTTGTTTGGGTTGCAGTTGTTTTGACAGCTTCTTTGGTGTGCCACTCAAGCAGGAAAATTATGGAGCATTACCCGGATCAGGTAAACATTTTAGTATTTCCATTATATCATAGTTTACAGATTTAAGACAAAGCTGCAGAGGAAGCCTTCAAGAGCTGGAGAGCAAAGTTCACGCTTGAGAGAAAACTGAAAACCTGTATTTAGTGTATATTCTTAAACCAACGATTTAAAAATGTTAATGTTTTAAAAAAAAATCACACTGACTTGTGTGGGTTGGTGAATTGTTGGCAGTGAAACAGATGTTCATAGTATCTGAAATCTTTACTGCTGTGTTGTTTTCTCTTATATGTTGCTATTTAACGCATGACCTCTCTTCAGGGTTGTGATGGCCTTGAGCTGCTTGACTGGCTATTTGATCAAAATAATGGTATTCTCCGTCACGAAGAACCAGAACAACACACTTGGCCAATCCAGGACCCAAATGTGTGTGAGACTGTTATATGACTTCTTTCTCCCACTTCCTTGTCGGTGTTCTCTGTATGTTGTTACCTCACACATAGAGAATAATCGTTCAACTTGATGTTTTCACCCAGCAGATGTTGCAGCCACCCGAACAGCCAAACGATGACTTTCTCAATGCGCTCCTGCGTGGCGGTGATTCTGTGTCAGCCTCTCCGCTCTGGTCACCATCTCCCAGTGACAGTGGGATCAGTGAGGACCCTCCATCAGACCAGATGGACAGTCCTCAGCGCCCTGAAAGCCCACCCGGGGACTCCCATTTCTTTGGTACAAGACCACTAACCAAGGCGGCCCTGGAAGCCAATGTCCCCGCTGACTTCAGTAAGTCGCACATATCCAAAAAGTAAAACATTCACATTGGGACACATTACATTGGGTTCTAATTCCTAATATCTTTTCATGATTATTGATTAAACGAAACATTATGTTCTCTGGTGTGTTTAATCAAACTGTGGAAATTAAGTCCCAAGTTATATCTTCAAATGACAAATTCTTATGATATCCCTAATACTAAGCAATTAGCTTTATTATAGCAGAGATGAAAGGAGAAAATATTCTCATTTGCTTGAAAAATTGCCATCGGTTATCTACATTTTGCACATGTTTAGATAACCAAGCTCTGATAATATTAGCATTTCATTCTAATGACATTATACTAAATCCAGCCCTTCTGGGAAAGGAATGATAATGGCACTCAGTGTTTGAAAGTTTTTGTTCCTGAATATGAATCCCAGTTTAAAGAATATAGTAGGATATCATAGATTATTTGTGACTGTATACAGAAACAGTCAAATGCTAAGACACAGACATTATCGATGCAGACAAAAGAAAGTCAACATGCTCAGCGCCTTGCAGTTATCAGTATTTACACAATCGGGCTCCAGAATTGCTGGTCAGAATCCAGCGAGACGAGCACGTCTCCTTGGTCTTTATTTGCATGTGCACTATCGTTGCTCCTGTGTGTGCAGGTGGCTGGAAGCTTGGCTTTCCAATGGGCAAGGCGAGGATTACACATCCTTCTAATGTGGATACATCACAGCTTTCCTCTAGCTTCCCCCTAACTGTCAAAGATCTGCTATTGTCGGGCACGTCTGAGCCAGTAAGTATCCTGTTGCTCCCTGATAGAGAAGGAGGGGATGGTTGAGGGTTGGGGGAGAGCGTGTCTAATGCATGTTTGTGGATCTTTCATTGCTTTCTTGACTTAAGAGACCTGTTGTTTACCTTTTGTGTGTGAGTGTGCATGTGTACTTTGGTAAAAAAAAAAAGAAAACAAACAAGTGGATTACTACAGTCCCTGATCTCATGAATTCAGCAAGGGGTAAGGCCTTTGGAATTGCAAATGAAATTTCTATTTTTACTCTTGTTTGTGGGACGCTTTGCTGAATGTGCAGCAACTGATGGTTGTTTTCTGAGCTGGAGAGAAGGAAGACACAAAAGATTTTTATTAGTATTCTACCGAAGATGATTTTTTTTAAACCTTCCCATAACTTTCATTCATTCATACAAAATTTTGGAGATAAAATACCTTCTTAATGTGTGAAGAATTTTATATTATGTGGCATTACTAAATAGCATTTTGTGAAGAGAAAGTTTATTAGGTCAACATATCAGATATTCTCATTTCACACACTCACACAAAAAGAAATTAGATTATCAAATAAAGATCACCATGACCAGAATAATACGTTAGAGCTTCTGAAACTTAAGTGGATTTCAGTTCACTCCAGGTATTGATCAATCTTCTCAGCCTAGTTTAGTAAGATGAAGGAGAGAGTAGCAGAATGCAACTTGGGTTTTCACACCATAATTACTTTTCAGAAGCCATGAAATGAGACTGATGAAGTTGCCTTGATAGTCTGCACCAATTTAACTGTTTCCTGTGAGGTTCATTGAGCGCACAGTGAAAGAGGTGGCCAGAGAGAAAATTTATTAGTGGTGGTGTTTTAAAAATTAGAATTTGTATTTTCCCACCAGACCCCACAGCCATCCCAAAAGTCCATTCAAGAGCTGGTTCTCAATGAAGATGAGATGAAGCTTTTAGCAAAGGAGGGAGTCACTCTGCCCACCCAGCTACCTCTCACAAAGGTAAACAGCTATCAATACCCAAACAATGAGAACAGTTTCCAGCACCTAGAATTTATCATACAGAGGCTCAAAACAGTAATGTTCCTTCCTTTGTCAGTATGAAGAAAGGATTCTGAAGAAAATACGCCGAAAAATTCGCAACAAGCAGTCGGCCCAGGAGAGCAGAAAGAAGAAAAAGGAGTACATCGATGGGCTGGAAAGCAGGTAATATTCAAATTTAGAGTGGGTTGGAATGTTTTAGCATTTTAACTGCAATTCTTACCGATAATAACAGTCTTAGAAACTGATAATCATTTTTCAAAGCATAAATAAGTTTTGATTATTTTGCCATTGTACCCTCCGGGCAGCCCTGTACTCTTGTTACAGGTTAATGTATTTCAGAGAAAGAAACTTAATGGAAAAAAATCCACACTTTTGGGTTTTTAATGTCAGCTTCTGAGCAGAAAACCGTTTAAGAGTGTGCACTGCAAAATATTTTGGAGTAACGCATTATAGAGCCAATTTGTAAATCGGAGCATTCAACATTCCCCGTACTCCTTCAGATCAATTCATGAATAACAGACGGAGCCTTAAACCGATTTTTGATAGCAAGCTTTCACTGGAGATGAAAACCTAAAAGAGAGAAAAAATTATATTCTTTCAACTTGTTTTTTTTTTCTCCTTTCTTCCCCTCGTGTATCCCCCTTTAGGATGGTTGCTTGCAGTACACACAACCAAGAGCTACAGAGAAAAGTGTCCCAGCTGGAGAAATGTAACATGTGAGTGATCGGAGACAAAAAATCGATCTCTGTTTTTAATTAATCATTCTGTGATCTCAGGTTAATGTTTGTTATGACATTTCATCTTAGCAAAATAACTACCTTTGGCATTTTTCCCTGCTTTCCTGTTCCCCTCAAACCTTTTTTAATCCTCTTATCACGTCTTCTCTTTGTATTTTCTTTTCCCCATTCCTCCCTACAGGTCACTAATGGAACAGCTGCGCAGGCTGCAGGCCCTGGTCATGAATACAACTAATAAGCCAGCCCAGACTGGGACATGTGTACTGGTACAGACATCCTCTGTGATAAGATAAATTGTCACTGACACACGTGGCTCTTCATGAAAGAATTCAGTTTCCTAATGCCCAAACACCAAAAATTACTGCTGCTGGATGAGCCATTAAGAAAAGCCAATTTAGACTGGTGCACACTGGGTAATACAGCAAGGGAGAGATACAGTGGCTTAAAGAGAAGCTACTGCATCTAATCACGACACTGGAATAAAGCTCAACACTAGAGGCACTTTTAAAGTGTAACTTTTAATCTATAAATATAACTAAATGCCTTCAAAAAAAAAGATGTAGCAACCCCCCTCGTACTTTATCTAACACTCCTTTTTTATCATATTCTCAGGTGCTCGTGCTGTCCTTCTCCCTAATACTGTTCCCAAGCCTCAAGCCCTTATCTGACTCCAAAGTCAGCCAAGGAGACTTCACTCCAGTCAGAAGTGAGTAACCTTCAGCACCAAACAGCTTTGTGTGGCTGCCTGCCAACTAATCCAGCAGCTATATGTCACAGCTGCGGAGTTTGCTAGAACTACATTCTCACACGCTGCTGGAACGGTTCTCACCTGCTGAGCTCCACAGTCGCCTCTACTGTTCTGAGGATTTGCCATCTACTTAAAGTTAGTCGGAAGGCAGAGAGGACCAAGGCCATTTATTGTCACTGCAGTTATTAAGCTCTGCTCTGTGAAGCGGCGCTTGATCTGATTGCTTACCATTAATTATTAGTTTAGTATTGAATGTCAGTTTAATGTTGAATGTGTTTGCTGATACCGACTATGATGTATTTCTTTCAGTTTAATAGGAGACGAGATTAGTGTTTGCAAAGCAGTGAGGTATAATTTCTTAACCTGAGTGGTTTGACAGAACTGAAAAAAAGCAATCATCTTGTGCCTTCCCCGACTGCTCGGGGCTCTGTTACAGGAGTCTTTAACGTGTTTAGGTTTGAATTTTGAATCGTCACAAACTTATGAGAGCACGCAGATGTGAAAATGTCCACTTGCCTGCCTCAGTGCATGTCTAGAACAACACAATAAGACCTGACTATAATACTTGTTTTACTCTACGTCTTATTCTCCTACAGTCCAGTCACGGTCCCTGCAGAACCTTCAGGCTTCCCGTGTACTCCATGTCACTGAATCCCCAATCTTCAGCGAGGATGAATCAGAGCCTCTTCACCGGCATTACCCAGAAGACCCGGGATTGGAAGATTTGACCGCACTGATGGAGAAGATGGCAGTAGACCAAGAACAATCCACTTTGGAGTCCATGTCTCTCAACAACAGCCAGGAAGACAAAATTGGTCATTTCCATGTAGATCCAATTACTGGTCACATCGCTACGGTGACCTTGAATCCCCATCGCTCTGCCAGGTTACAGCCACACGCTGATGGTATGTAAGAAAGAAGGGAAGCAAAATTTTCAAATTATCCTACTCCTAATGGTAGAGCAGGGGATTATCAGGGGCTGTTGTTTACACAAATGGAAATTGGGTTTTAATCATTCCCATTTTGTCTTTAATACTTATGTAGCCTGTATGCTTTTTTTTTCTACTTGTGATACTGTTTTATATCAGTGTTTGGATTTGAATCCCTACTGAAATTTCTTTTTCTGTGTATGCCTTGACTTTGATGAAATGCCAGTGTAAATTGCTGTTTGAGAATGTCAAAAAATGTGGTGAATAGAGCCGTGATTGCATGTATAGTTTTGATCATAATGAACGATTTTTGAAATGTTAAAGGATTTTCAAAGCATGTTTTCTCCAAAGAGTTGATTGCAGTAGTTTGGATTTATTCACGGATTAAACATCGTAAAGTAAAGAAAAGTATTAAAATAACACAACAAAATCAGTGGTTTGAATATACTGTGTACTCATTTTTCTGTATTTCCAAGCTTTAATTATTAAAAAGTGAAAACATGTGGTACAACATCTCTGTTGACACTTCTGGTTGAAAAAAGAGCGCTGTGGGGTGGATGTCAGTAGTGACATGGTTCACACAGAGGGAGACGGAAAACTGGGACAAAGGTGAGGCAGATGACCTGTTATCTCATTAGTCAGACTTGACATGTTGACTTATTTACTTGTTGAAGCCAGGTTCCAGTTGGTGTCTGTGGCACTCGCCCACCTTCTGTTTTGTCATTTTCAACCTAACAAAAATTGAAAGGTGTTCTTAAGCTTGCTGCCATTTCACCTAGCATTTAGGTCTGACCTGTTCAAGATGACATTTTCTGAGGTCAGCTAGACTTTATTTGAAGGAGCGGCCGGAGATTGAATTCTGGGATTAAATGATCCTCTCCATCCAACACTCTGGTTACCATCTGAATGGATTCGTAAAAGAAAAAAATGTGATTTCCATTAATACACACACACACACACACGGACATTTGATAACAGAAATCCCTCTTTTGAGATTAATTTACAACATTCATGAGATTACTTGAAGCGCTTGAGAGAATGTCATCACCTGACTAAATCTTCAGTCAGCTGACAACTATCTGGAATTACTCCAGCTTGTTCACCTGACACTGAACATATTACATGAAAGATGAAGGCATAGCTTTCTGTGTGCGTGTCTGCAGACTGGATTCAGCATGAGGGGAATGGCAACTTTGTGGCAATCCATCAAAACGGTTTTGAAATCCATTCTAAACTAAGCTTAAACTAAAATTTGTCAACTGGTTGTGACAACCTGAATGTTTTTTTGTTTTGTTTTTTTTACCAAAGATTGTGTGAAATTGCACACTTTTAATCACATATTTGAATGATTATAGGACCTTTCCTGTCGCTATGGCAGCTGTCTTTTTCAGCCTGACTTTAAGTGTGGCTTTTCAGAGCAGCAATAAACACTTTGCCTTCAAACATGGTCAGATGGCACAGTATCTGGCCTAGCTGTGCTCCTTGTATATGCTAGCTTTCAGCCACTTACTGCTTTTCATTTTTACAGGCAGCAATAAATCAGAGAACAGACTCCTGATCCAACTCTCCACCAACATTTGATTGTGATGTGTATTGTTTTCTCATAATTCTCATAGTTTTCTCATTATTTTTCTCATAATTTCTCATAATTCTTATGAATTTGTGGGTGTGGTTATACCTATCTATCTATCTATCTATCTATCTATCTATCTATCTATCTATCTATCGTGCTGGGTGATAAAAATATATATATATATATATATATATATATATATATATATATATATATATATACATATATATATTTGTTTTTTTGTTTTTTGTTTTTTTGTTTTTTTTTATCACCCAGCACGCCCCTGCGGGCGGTTTTATCCTTCAAGCTCGGGTCCTCTACCAGAGGCCTGGGAGCTTGAGGGTCCTGCGCAGTATCTTAGCTGTTCCCAGGACTGCGCTCTTCTGGACAGAGATCTCCGATGTTATTCCCGGGATCTGCTGGAGCCACTCGCCTAGCTTGGGAGTCACCGCACCTAGTGCTCCGATTACCACAGGGACCACCGTTACCTTCACCCTCCACATCCTCTTGAGCTCTTTTCTGAGCCCTTGGTATTTCTCCAGCTTCTCGTGTTCCTTCTTCCTGATATTGCTGTCATTCGGAACCGCTACATCGATCACTACGGCCGTCTTCTTCTGTTTGTCTACCACCACTATGTCCGGTTGGTTAGCCACCACCATTTTGTCCGTCTGTATCTGGAAGTCCCACAGGATCTTAGCTCGGTCATTCTCCACCACCCTTGGGGGCATCTCCCATTTTGACCTCGGGACTTCCAGGTTATACTCGGCACAGATGTTCCTGTACACTATGCCGGCCACTTGGTTATGGCGTTCCATGTATGCCTTGCCTGCTAGCATCTTGCACCCTGCTGTTATGTGCTGGATTGTCTCTGGGGCATCTTTACACAGCCTGCACCTGGGGTCTTGCCTGGTGTGATAGACCCCAGCCTCTATGGATCTTGTGCTCAGAGCTTGTTCTTGTGCTGCCATGATTAGTGCCTCTGTGCTGTCTTTTAGTCCAGCTTTGTCCAGCCACTGGTAGGATTTCTGGATATCAGCCACCTCCTCTATCTGCCGGTGGTACATACCGTGCAGGGGCCTGTCCTTCCATGATGGTTCCTCGTCTCCCTCCTCTTTCTTGGGTTTCTGCTGCCTGAGGTATTCACTGAGCACTCGGTCAGTTGGGGCCATCTTCCCAATGTATTCTTGGATGTTCGTTGTCTCATCCTGGACTGTGGTGCTGACACTCACCAGTCCCCGGTCCTATTCCTTCCGCTTAGCGTACAGCTTCAGGGTGCTGGACTTGGGGTGAAACCCTCCATGCATGGTAAGGAGCTTTCTTGTCTTTATGTCAGTGGCTTCTATCTCCTCCTTTGGCCAGCCTATTACCCCAGCAGGGTACCTGATCACGGGCAGGGCGTACGTGTTGATGGCCCGGATCTTGTTCTTACCATTCAGCTGACTCCTCAGGACTTGCCTGACCCTCTGCAGGTACTTGGTGGTTGCAGATTTTCTAGCGGCCTCTTCATGGTTCCCATTCGCCTGCGGGATCCCCAGGTACTTGTAACTGTCCTCTATGTCTGCAATGTTGCCTTCTGGTAGTTCAATCCCCTCAGTTCTGACTACCTTCCCTCTCTTTGTTACCATCCGACTACACTTCTCCAGTCCGAACGACATTCCAATGTCATTGCTGTATAGCCTGGTAGTGTGGATCAGTGAATCGATGTCTCGTTCACTCTTGGCATACAGCTTGATGTCATCCATGTACAGGAGGTGGCTGACAACTGCTCCATTCCGTAGTCGGTATCCGTAGCCAGTCTTGTTAATGATCTCACTGAGGGGGTTCAGGCCTATGCAGAACAGCAGTGGGGACAGAGCATCTCCTTGGTAGATCCCGCACTTGATGGTGACTTGTGCTATGGGCTTGGAGTTGGCCTCTAGTATTGTACGCCACATCTCCATTGAGTTCCTGATGAAGGCTCTTAGGGTCCCATTGATCTTGTACAATTCTAGGCATTCCAGTATCCAGCTGTGGGGCATTGAGTCATAGGCCTTCTTGTAATCAATCCAGGCAGTGCACAGGTTGGTCAGTCTGGTCTTGCAGTTTCGGCTGACTGTTCTGTCTACCAGTAGCTGGTGTTTTGCGCCTCTGGTATTCTTGCCAATTCCTTTCTGTGTCCCACTCATGTATTGACCCATGTGCCTGTTCATCTTAGCCGATATGATGCCTGACAGGAGCTTCCATGTAGTACTGAGGCAGGTTATTGGTCGGTAGTTGGAGTTGACCGGTCCCTTCTTGGGGTCCTTGGGGATCAGGACCGTCCGACCTTCGGTTAGCCATTCTGGGTGTCTCTCGTTAACTAGCAGCTGGTTCATTTGTGCTGCCAGACGCTCGTGGAGTGCAGTCAGCTTCTTCAGCCAGTAGGCGTGAACCATGTCGGGCCCTGGTGCTGTCCAACTCTTCATACTGGAGACCCTTTCTTAGATATCTGCCACTGTGATGGTTACTGGACCCTGTTCAGGGAGGTCACTGTGGTCTGCCCTCAGATCCACTAGCCACTGAGCATTGCCGTTATTGGTTGCGTCCTTCTCCCATATGCTCTTCCAGTATTGCTCCGTCTCCATCCTTGGTGGTGCTGTTCTCTTATTGTTCCCTTGCCACTGAGAGTACACCTTTGCTGGTTCTGTGGAGAACAGCTGGTTTATTCTCCTGCCTTCTATCTCTCTGGTGTACCTCCTCAAGCGGCTGGCCAAGGCTGTGAGTCTTTGCTTGGCAGTTTCCAAGGCCTCAGGTATGGACAGCTTGCTTTATTTCTTATGCACCTTCTTTGTCGCACCTTTCTGCAACTCCGTTAGTTGGCTAACCTCCCTCCGTGCTACTTTGATCTTGCCCTCTAGCCTCCTTCTCCATGGAGGGTACTGCCCCTTGTGGCTGTTCAACTTGTAGCCAAGCATCTCACTGATCACTGCTGCCGTATTGTAGATCAGCTTGTTAGTGTCGGTAATCGTGGTTGTAGGTATTGTCCGTAGTGCTGCATTAACATCATCTAGCAGACCTTCTGAGGGTACTTCACGTAATCTTGGTAACCGGCTACGGGGGATCCAGGTTTCAAGCTTGGCCATGATCCTATTTTTCAGTTCAGTTCCTCTCGCACTCAACGATCCTTCTCCTATCGCACTTGGGGCTATGTACCCAATCTCGGGTGGGGGTGATGATATCTCCCCCCTGACCTGGCGTCCTGACTCCTCCTTGCCGTAGCATTTGTGTTGTACCTCGTCAATCTCTAGCTGTGAGAGCAGTCCCTTCTTTCGAATGTTTGAACACTGAGCTACTAGTTGTTTCGGCGTCATTGTGAATGTTGGGTATCGAAGAATATATATGTATATATTAGGGGTGCAACGATATTCGTATCGATATTGAACCGTTCGATACAGTGCTTTCGGTTCGGTACGCATATGTATCGAACAATACAACATTTGTAATTTATTTTATCAACTTTCCTTCTGACGATGCTGTCTGAGTTGAGTGCTCAGTGAATCTGTGTTCGACTACTCCGCCTAGGCTGCACTGTCTAGCGCAGATCCACTGAGCGCTCAACACAGACAGCATAGTCAGAAGGAAGAGCGCAGGGCAAGCTAGCGAGACAGAAGTTAAGCTCGCCTTGCAACAGGCAAATTGAACCTCATTCAGATCTGGCGTTTGGAATTATTTTGGTTTTCATGTGACGTATGACCCTGAAGGTAAGCGAGTCATGCACTAAAGTAAAACAGTATGTTGGATGTGCCATGCAATGCTCAATTACATTGGTGTGAACTAGTGTGTTAGCGCAGTTAGCTCGTTAACGTGTTGGCCGTCTAGCCCCATGCACGGAGCGATCAGCG